TTGTGTATATTTTTTCTGTGTGTCTTACTGAGAAGTGACTGGTGTATGCTTGACTAGAAGGGATACCACCCAACTTACAAATGAATAATTGACTAGAACCTCAGGATTAGATGGGACTATTAACTGAGGGACAAGAGGAGTGTGTTTTGAAGGATTCAAGAGTGAAAAGGGAAGCGGTGCATTTTCACTTAGCGCTTCCGAATAAAGCCAAACATAGGGTCTCATAGAATGATATAAATATAGTGGGGGGATTTGATAGAGGATGACTAGGTGATGGGTCTGAAGCACAGTAAGAGGAAGATGCCTCTGAATGGGAATCGCCTGCTTTTAATCTTCGAATATGGCGTAAACGAGGACGGGAGTTGAAGGATCGTAGAGAGCTAGATTTCAGACAGCCAGACAATGATTTGCATACGTAGCAGGGACAAATTGACAAGCGGGGTGGAAAATAGGGGCTAAATGAAGGTAGGAAGCCCTGCAAACAGCATCAGAAACCGGTAGTTATGGTGATTACGCTTCACGTAATCACTCACAACGCACACTCTTAGGCGGTATTAGAGGAAACGAAAGTACAGAATGGCAGGAATAGTTAAATGGATTGGGGTTGATAGAAAGAGGTGCAACCCTAGAAGGCAGGACAAAAATTAAGGGCGAGGAGTGATGCCACAACGGTTGAACAGAACGCTTTGATAAGTTGTAACTTTGTGCTGATGCCTCTCACTAATGCTGCCGATTACGATGCCGGCAAAACTTCTTGGAATATACCAATGTCTGGAAATCCCGATTACTGGGGAATAGGTATGTTCCACTAGGTTTGCCTGTCACTCTGACCAAGTAGCGAAAGCAATGTTAGGCAACTTTATGAAGCTAATGGGGATTGCGACCAAAGAGAAGAGCACATCAACTTGGTCTTCATATCTAACAAGTTAGCTAGGGCTGACCTGCATCCTTAAATATTAAAGTATGAGCTCTCGATGGGGTTAGAATTTTTAAATTGTCCAGATGCAGTACCTTGTGGACATTTTATAAAATTGCTTCCCGGTTTTACAGCGTATGAAAAGCCTTATGCCTAATGCTTAGAATGTACTGAAGACAGGCACAGTCTAAGATCTAGAATCAGTCAGAATTGCTGATTATCACTACCGCTTTCTACAGTTCCGCGTCCTTTCCAAGTGCATACCTTACAAATATCGACGATTTAATGCTCTTCTATACACCAATTAGGCGATAGTTACCTAGGTTGCTAATGGCAACCAATGCTACTCAGCGGGCTTAACCAATAAAAGCATTCCTTTTGCAGACAGCTTTAGTAAAGGGCGGACTTAGAGATTTTGCCCTCAAAGGAAGCTGTGGTCGGCAGAAGGTAGACTGCTTGCGAAACTTAATCCAGTGCAAACGAAACGGTGACGTTTTCTTCTAGACAGATAGGTAATGTAATGCCGAGACAAGTAATTCAAAACATTTTGGATCGATAACAGTTTGTTTAAGTTGATGCCTTAAGAGCGATTATTATATCCAGTTCATATAGGACTTTGATGCTCTCAATATATAATTTAGCATATCTTCTGTATCTTGGGCACAAAGTGGATAAGATGTATGCATTATGTCGGCTCGTCTGGGATTTACGAATTTGACTCAGCAGCAGCCCAAGTAACAGTAAAATGGATGAGTTGGAAAGGTTGTATGAACATCAGACGATGATGGCTATAGGAATTTATTCATTTCTTGACAATCTGCTATCGCATGTTCCACCACAACAGAATAGAGACGATGCTGAAGAAGGAACAAACTCTATTAATTCTACCCCAGGAGAAGCCTCCTTGCCTGTTATGGAGGCCGAGGCTCTGGAACTTCGACGCCAACGAATACATTCTCTGAGATCAAACATCGCAAGAACTACACATCTGAGTGACGCGGGACACTTACCACCAGGGTTCATTATTAGCCTGAGTACTTCTATCTCAGGTGATATTTCGGGTGAAGAAGAGCCAGTTGAGAACTCGAATTTAGATACCATGTCACAGCCTAAATGTTCTATAATAGCAGGTGGATATTCTGAAGAGTTTTTTATCAATTTATCAGACAAAGAAAAGGAGGAATTTACATGCAGTGTATGGTGAGTCTTTTTATTGTTATTTACTTTATGTTTCAATCGTACGGACTCAATAACACCCTGGTCTTTTCCTTTTTATCAAAATAATAGGTATATAGTAGGCATATATACACGAATAATATCTAATATTGTGAGAAAATAGCTGAGGTCGTTGCAGTTTAGGCTGAGATCGCCTGTCAGCCTTACTTTTTGCATACTTTTAATGAGCATAGGGTAAGCCGTTGATCAAAGCAGTAAGGTATTATGTGACTACTACAAGAGGCCGAATAAGTCGATTTGTGCTCCAAACAAACCCATATTACGCCTTCTAAATATGCCTAATATTACGGAGATAAAAAGCAAATACCAAACCGTGGATAATTTAAAGGGGAACGCTTATGCAAGCCAGCTCGCTCCCCTTTTCCCCTGGGGCACCATTGAAACAAGGTTTGAGCCAAATGGAAATATATTTTATCACTGCTCATATTCTTTTCTGTCATGAGCGTGAAGCAACATCATCATTAATGAGCTATGACAGGAAAGATAAATTAAATTGGTTAAAAAGCATACGAGATTAGAATTCCAAGTAATAGCTTGGAAGAAGCATTCGAATTAGTATTCATATTTTAAGGTTTTACTTTCCTATCGACTAAACAATTTCTTTAGATATGAATTCACACGCTGAGCTTTTGACGTTAAACTTTAGTATGCCTTGAGAAGGCTCACGAAAACTTTTGATTGTGGCCAGTATGTCCTTAGTACAAGAAATTAATGGCCGTATCTTTGCATTGGAAAATTTATAACCATACCAACCCCTGTAGCTAAATAAAAATTAACCTCGCAAATAGGAAACAAAAGTAATGCCAACTAATTCATGCATAAATAGGAAAAATAACTTTTATATACTCCTTTTAAGTTATCAATCAGGCCACATCATTTGAAAGTATGTGGCCTCCCCAACTAGATGGCTAATTTTGTTATTTTTTCATTTCTTGCTTTAAATTGTGATACTCTTCAGTGAAATTTTTCCTAGATGTTCTAGGTTATATATCATATTAAGAAATAAATAAATACAGTCCTAATAGAAGTTTACCGAGGTTCTTGCCATGGCATTATTGAGCAATTTATTATGTAGGGCCAATGAGTAAAATAGGATGAATAAGTTCTGAAGAATATATTTTCTAAATGGCCTTATATTTAAAAGAATTTAACAAACCCATAGGATTTATATAGGACCCAAGAGGTTATTTTTATAAGTTAGTTCACCTTATTTGTTTAGATATGAAACAACTTGAAGCCAATTAGAGCAAACAGATTGTTTAACTAATAAATGATATAAACGTTACTATAAAAATAAGTATACGAAATCATGCAATAAGCTGAGCCACAGAGTTGACAATTATAACGTATATAGAGTCAGGTTATCTGAAAATGTGTTGGCTTATGACATCTTCGATTGCCTTATGACCAGCATTAAGTTATAACCCAGGGTTGGAAGTATATAGAATGATTATTCAATAATAGTTATTTTCTGAGCATGAGCATGGAAACAAATATGCTTAATCGTGTATACGAGTATAATGGAGTTATGCGAGGGATCTAACTGATCAATTCGTTCAACTTCATGCATGGGTCGAATACCATATGCATGTGTGCATCATGATCCAAAGTGAGAGTATGAGAATCAAGTAACCTTAACGCTTGCTCTTCATAGTGATCCCTTTTCGGTCTTTACAAAATACATAATTGCTACAACCCTATGCTATACAACAAAAGGATACTGCGACCACACAAAAGGTCACACTATCTTGGTCTTCATACCCATGCTTTTTGTTGGTATTGCTGATTTCTGATATTCTCCGAGTCTTTTTAGCCAAAACGTAAAACTTTGGCCAATTTTGACTTATTTTACTCTCCTGTTCATTATATTCCTCTAGTTAAGTATAGCAGTGGCACATCTAATTTTGTGTTTCCTTGAGTTTTCCAAATATATGAGGCCAGTCTTTTTGTTCCTTTACAGATTAATTAATGTCCAGGCGGTGCTACATACTATCATTTTTAACCTCCACTCACCCATGCTTCGGCAGCTTTCGTTATTAAATAAATATAATCTCATGTGTTCTTGAAGGAAAGGATAACATTTTCCAAAAGATTATCGACTCAACATAGGTGGACAAACTGCATCGCTCGGGATGTTGTCGCATGGCATGCAGAGATTGTAAGCAGAAGTATATTTTAGATATGAAGAGTAACTTGATATCGATGAGTCTCCTGAGGTAACATTGTTGGGGGGACTTTCATTTGGTATGAAAGTGCATGAACAAGAGATTCGAAAGTCGTTCTCACCAGAAGAGGACGGCTAAATTCCGTTATACTGCAGCCGTTTGGCTTTTATATGACGTTCAGGTTGACGCAGTCTACGAGACGAAATCTCATTCCGTTTTCACCCAAAACGAGGGAGGAGGTCTCGTGGACTACGTCAGCCTGAACGTCGTCAGCCGTCTTCTTCTGGTGAGATCGGCCTTAGAATCTCTTCTTCATGTAATTTATACGAAATGAAGGTCTCCTTAACGGAAGTATATTGTTAAAATAGTAAGAAAAATCAACATATGAATCAAGTAAAATCAAGGGCTGTTTAAGTATGGATACTGAGAGGTCAGAAATTTCGGAATGCATTGTACTATCTGGGAGCTAAATCAACAGGTAAAGCAAATAAAACCGGCCACATATGGTAAAAATACAAGGAAGCGCAGGAATAAAGGGGCTGTTGGTATTCTTAGTGAAAGGAATCGAATGAACATGAGACTTAATGAAGTCAAAAGTGGCGAAGACTGCGTTTTGCCGGAGCAGACTTGGAGATGAGAAATCAGCAGATCAATAAAAAGGAAGCAACTGAATCAAGGATGTATTTTGAAGAGAACGAGAAGGGATAGCAAATAGGAGGCTCTCGAGGAACAGCAGGAAAACAGGAGAAGACGCTTATAGTGAAGTGCAGAAATATCCGAGGGTCTAATTCACATGGGAATAGGGCATAGAAGGTTTAGTAAGATTACATTATATATAGAAGTGCGAGGCCAGTTTGATCAGAACTCCATTCGAGAAATGAGGCGGAGACCAGAGACAGTTGACCTACAGAAGGCATGACCTGACTTTTCATTTCGAAGGAAAAGTTGATTGGAAGGAATGGTCTTACCTGAAACAGAAAAAGGATTGCCGCGTAATGAGGACTGTTGTATTGTGACAAGAAGTCATCGGCTTACCGTTCTGCGTCCCCGATGAAACTGTGCTAAGCTTTCTTCTGTACTGTGACAGACATCATCATGACGAGAATGGATTCATACTTCACGAAGTAGCGCAAAATATACTGAAATAACAGAAAGAATGGCCGGCTTAAATCCTAGTCACTTCTGTAAATCATAACCTTGCGATCTTAATAAAGCATCCCATTATTTGGTTGGATCACTCAAACTTACTCTATATGCTTACAGATGAGTGAAGTTAATTCATAAGCCTTACTCAAATAAACTAGCGTATTATCCTCTACTGTTGACTCGTGCTTAGGTATGTATTATTGTTTATTGTGTGTTTGCAATGTTCATGTCATGAGAGTTGTGATAGTCCTAGATAGACTCGAAACTAATCCAGCCTCCTTTTTTTGCTCAGTGGCTCTTTCTGCTCTCCCACTCTATCGTTCTTAAGTCTATCCAACAACCATAAATAGTTCCTACTCAATTTTCTACACTCGTACCTTCTTTTCAGAATGTTAGCTGC